ACCGTACAATTTTAGTTATTTTTTTAGTTACATTAATTTTTCTCTGGGCCTTATAGATTAGAATATATTTAAGGTGGTAATAGTTATTGCCTCATCCTGTATACTACTGATATAAGAATAAAGTATAAGTTAAAATAGAGATAGCAAATTGGTTTTAGTCTTAAAATGTTCCTCAATTTATGTGCTCCCAAAATATGCACAATGAGATTTTCATGTTTATCCCCTTTGGCCGACCCAAATGTGAACACGCCATACGTACAAGAGTAAAGTACCAGTTAAAATACAGATAGCAAATTGATTTTAGTCTTAAAATGTTCCTCAATTTATGTGCTCCCAAAATATGCACAATGAGATTTTCATGTTTATCCCCTTTGGCCGACCCAAATGTGAACACTCCATACGTACATGAGTAAAGTACCAGTTAAAATACAGATAGCAAATTGATTTTAGTCTTAAAATGTTCCTCAATTTATGTGCTTTCAATATATGCACAATGAAATTTCCGTGTTATCTATTTACATTTATAACAATCTCTACTTTTATAAAATAGCTATTATATGTTTACAGTAATCTCGTCAAAATCCAATTAAACATATTTTAAGAGCACATAAATGTACAAAAATAAGTGGAGAAACATTTTCAGTTTATATCAATACGCTGGAAACGAATCGTTATGTTAGTAAGCACTTTACACTTGTAAGTATAGTGGTGCTCACTTTTAGAAAAGTTTTTCGGCCAAAGAAAATAAGCACAAAAATCTTATTCTGTATATTTTAAAAGCACAGAAATTGAGGAACATTTTAAGACTAAAACCAATTGGCTATTTGTATTTTAACTGGTACTTTCTAAGTTGCGTGGTGTCTATTTTTAGGAAGGTTTGTCAGCCGAAAAGAATTTAAGACTAAAATAAATTCGCTATCTGTATTTTAACTGGTACTTTACTCTTGTACGCATGGGGTGCTCACATTTGTATCGGTATAGAAAATATAGAAAAATGTTTCAGACAAAAGTTGTATGTTCTAAAGGAAGACACATGATTCTGATGTGAACCATGTCGTAGATATTGTGGTTTTCAAAAAATTTAAAAACGACTAATTTCTTACATTTGATTGTTTTACGTATAAAAATATCAAAGTAAAGTTATTGAAAGGTGAATACGAGATATTTTGTATTTTATATAAAAATATGACAAAATTTAATTAAGAAATTTTTAACGAAAGAGAGCTTTATTATAGTGTTTTGAAAACATCTTCACGAGATGTACAACTTTTATCTCAAAGTTATTATTATTATACTTGTATTAAAATCAATTAAATTTTTATTTAGAATGATGTAAGGAGTTTAATTATACTATTTCTATTTGTTTTAGATTGCCCTTTTATTTTCTGCAGAGGTAAGTCTTCCTCTCTCTCTTTCTCTCTCTCTCTCTCTCTTTTCCTCCCTCTTTCCCTCTCTCTTTTTCTCTCTCCTTTCTTTTTCCTTCTTTTAATTTTCTTTTTTTTTTTAATTGGCTGCTTTGCGCCTTTAAAAGTCGGCTGCTTTGCGGCTTTAAACTTCGGCTGCTTTGCGCCTTTAAACGTCGGCTGCTTTGCGCTGATAAAAATCGGCTGCTCTGCGCCTACTGACATCGGCTGCTCTGCGCTTTTAAAAATCGGCTGCTTTGCGCTGATAAAAAACGGCTGCTCTGCGCCTACAAACATCGGCTGCTTTGCGGCTTTAAACTTCGGCTGCTTTGCGCCTTTAAACGTCGGCTGCTTTCCGCTGATAAAAATTGGCTGCTTTGCGCCTTTAAACGTCGGCTGCTTTGCGCTGATAAAAATTGGCTGCTCTGCGCCTACTGACATCGGCTGCTCTGCGCCTTTAAAAATTGGCTGCTTTGCGCCTTTAAAAGTCGGCTACTTTGCGCTGACAAAAATCGGCTGCTCTGCGCTTACTGACATCGGCTGCTCTGCGCCTTAAAAAATCGGCTGCTTTTGCCTTTAAAAGTCGGCTGCTTTGCGCCCATAAAAATCGGCTGCTCTGCGCCTTTAAAAATCGGCTGCTTTGCGCCTTTAAAAGTCGGCTGCTCTGCGCCTTTAAAAGTCGGCTGCTTTGCGCCCATAAAAATCGGCTGCTTTGCGCCCATAAAAATCGGCTGCTCTGCGCCCATAAAAATCGGCTGCTCTGCGCCTACAAACATCGGTTGTTCTGTAAAAATCGGCTGCTTTGCGCTTATACAAATAAATTGCTTAGCGCTTTAAGAAATCTGTTGTGCGCCTATTTTATACAATGTCTCTAAAGACTCAAAATATTATTTTAAAGCCTGCGGACAAAGATATAATTACCCGAGGCGAATGGCTTACGGACGTACATTTGGATCATTTCCATAGACTTTTACAAAGTTGTTCAGATTATAGACCTGTCGGAATACAATTGCCTGATATGATTCAACCTGTATCACAAGATAAAAAACACATTCAAATATTGTGTAGTTTGTCACATTGGGTGTGTTGTTATTATGATACAAAAAATATATTTGTATATGATTCCTCACATAATAAAACATTGTGTAAAGATCATGAGCGATTCTTGGAAAAATTATTTCCAGCACATGACTTTAAAAAACATCCCGTCAAATTTCCTACTGTGCAACGTCAACCGAACAGTAGCAATTGTGGTGTTTTTGCTATAGCTTTTGCTACTTCATTGTTATTCAATATTAAACCTGACAAAGTAAAGTATGAACATAAGTTTATGCGTTC